AATAATGAGGAAACTCTCAATATCAGCACACCCGCCGTTCTTGATTTTTTGTCTTCTTTGAAGAATGAATTAGATTATTGTTTTTCTGAAATTGACAAAAATATATTGTTCCAAATAGCAACATTTTTAGACCCACATTACAAAGGTAAATTCTTTGGTGACTTTCTTCTCAATGATATAAAACAGAAATTACTTACATCTTTAGAGACAGAAGTAAATATCACAACTACTACAATTAGCACAGAAAAACCAAATGCTGTAAGAAAAGAACTTTGCAACAATTTAGAAGGCTCTATGGCCAATATGTTAGATAGTGACGACGAAGATGAGGAATCTGAAAACCAAATATCATATACTAATGTTAATTTGCTCACAGAATATGCCAAAGAAAAAAGTTTATCAAGAGATGAAGATCCATTAAAGTATTGGGAAATTAATAGTAAAAAATCTGGAGGTCTTAGTCACATTGCTCACACATATTTATCGTTACCTGCAACAAGCATTACAAGTGAGCAGTTTTTCAGTGCAGCAGGAATTATTCATGATCCTCATCGTAATAGACTTTTGGGTGATAAAGCTGCCAAGTTACTCTTTTTGAAGTACAATTTACCATTAATTAATTTTGATTATGACATTTAATATTTTTGAAGTTTCTAAAAATGTGATTATTTTATCTGAAAAATTAACATCAGCTACAAGAGTTCCAAGAGAGCAGTTTTTCAGTGCAGCAGGAATTATTTATGATCCTCATCGTAATAGACTTTTGGGTGATAAAGCTGCCAAGTTACTCTTTTTGAAGTACAATTTACAATTAATTAATTTTGATTATGACATTTAATTTTTTGAAGTTTCTAAAAATGTGATTATTTTATCTGATAATTTGATAATTATTATAATATAATATAACCATGATGATTATTTCAATTAGCATTAGAGGTTTGATCTCACTATAAAGATAGTTAAATTAATACCTTACTATAATTAATGTTTAAATATTTAATTTTTGCAATATGAATGTGTCAAATATGTGATTTTAAGAAATAAAAAGTGATTTTGAATTGAAGTTATTAGTATTTTATTGCTACCTATCTTTAAAATTTCAATTAGCATTAGAGGTTTGATCTCACTATAAAGATAGTTAAATTAATACCTTACTATAATTAATGTTTAAATATTTAATTTTTGCAATATGAATGTGTCAAATACATGATTTTAAGAAATAAAAAGTGATTTTGAATTGAAGTTATTAGTATTTTATTGCTACCTATCTTTAAAATTTCATATAAGTAATGAAATTCATTAAGTTAAAAGATCCATTAAAGATCCGCTAAAAAATAACGGATACGGATCTTTTTTTCCCTCCGATATCCGTAGATATGGATATAGATCTCNTGCCACATATTGTTCTCTTATATTCCCCAACCAATATTCTATGCTGATGATTTTAATTAGTGGTTCAAGAATAATTTTTGATTAAAAAGTAACATGATCCGCTAAAAAATAACGGATACGGATCTTTTTTTCCCTCCGATATCCGTAGATATGGATATAGATCTCTGGCATATCACTAACATGTACAGATTAGATGAACTACATCTTAAATAAAAGTAAATATTTTCACAGTATTTTTCTGTTATGCTATATTGGAAATAAATGAACTGTTTAAATAAACAAATTAAAATCATAAAAGTCATGAGAAATGTGGACACGATAGTGTACTTTATGAAACCATTTCTTCTCCATTGTTTTTACTGTTATATTCTATAACTGCCCCTATCCTGGTTTTTTTAAAGCCAAACAATTGCTAAATTATATTAGGTTATATTACATGTCGCATGATTATCATATTGCTATTGACCATGATGACAAAAACTATATGGGAAAAGAATTAAGTATGAAATATAAAAATATTACAAGGGATACAAGATATGATCATAATTTACTTGAACTTGTGTGAAATCTGTTAGAAAAAAACTAACAAGAAGTTGTGTAACTTTCCTGGCTTTTGAGATTTTCTTTTAAAAATAACATTTGTATTATTAATTAAAATAAGTAACTAAACTTGCTTGTGATGCCATCTGTTATGAAATTTTGTTATAAAAACTTTATATATTGTTAATTATTATAAAATAGCAAAAGACTTAATTTTGAGGGTAGAGATGAGTTTTATAAAACTATATACAGGTACAGTAGAGCCTCGAAAACTTGGCACTCGATAACCCGGCACTCCGGATAACTCGGCCACACCCTGGCAGGGCAAAAAAATCCTTAGTTAATTAATTTTCATTATAGACAGCTGTATGCCTCATAAAGTATTTTTCTGAGGTCTGTCTTATCAGGTAAATTACTGTACACAGTGTATTCATTAATTTTCATTTTCATGTAGTATTTTCTCTATGCCTTCATAAA